CGCTTTTATTCGAGCTTAACTTAGAGATAAAAACGAAAGGAAGTAATTGCGAATGTTGAACGTCGCTCCAAGCGTATTCTTTGTTTTCTTCGTTTTTACCGATGGTCGATAATCGTTACTGGGAAGAGGAAAAATAACGTAAGATTTTTCTCACGCTTCGTCAATCGTCCGAATTCTCGAAAAATTGTGGGCGTTGCGTGATTCTTAAACGCCCATATATAATCATTTAACCGGTATAATCGACAAACAAGGACAAACGCCTCGCACGTTATACACAGACTGATCTAAAAATTCTAAAATTCACTACGAGGATGGTGGCGACGAAGACGACGACGACCAGACGAATTTAGAAAGTGAAAAGAGTTCGTCGGCAGTTGCAATTAGCGAGACTTCTTAAATTTCCTGGACAATTAGCGAATTCGTCGACGACGCGCAGACAACCCTCAGACGGAATAAATAGAAAGAGTGTCGTTGCGAGTTTATTAACTCGTACCTCGGCCGGCCACTTGGTCGGAGGTGTGTAAAAGTCGTATGCGCGAAGACGTATGCGCTCTAAATGCACGTTCAGAGAGTACACAGAAACTCTATATATACATCGACGATGCGTTACACTTTCGTATATTATTTATCGTCCGCCACTTTTGTTGCATTAAATAGCGTATATAATTGAGCGCATCGTATTATTATATCGCTTGTATTGTAAATGCAACAGTTCGTTAAAAGATTTCGATTAATTTTCAGCATGAATTAGAAAGGCGCAGTTAACGAGGATATACGAGTTCTAGAAAGACAGAGGTTGTTAGCGATAGCGTGGAAACGTTAATTGGCGTGTAAGGAGAACGAGATGTATATGCAAATTTGAGTTTTACTCGTTAAAAATTGATTCTTCGTTAATCCGTTAAAGAAGATACTAAATAATTTTTTAATTGAATTTAATCTATACGTTGTTGTTTCCTCGACTCGCTTTAATTCGTCCGACGTTTTATCGTCTATACAATATCCTCGAGAGTAGAAAACCGCGTAGATTCTACAAATATCCGTAGATCGGTGTGAAATATCCGTTTCAGAATATCTTTGTCATTTTAACGTGAGAACCGTATTACTTGCTACCAGCTCGTTTACCGCCTAAGGGATTAGACGCATATTTCGCGTCCCAATGTTCTTTGTTTTCCTTAAATTATATTCCGTTTCGAGGAAGGTATGAAATATTCATAAATTCCATTTATCAAAGTAAACTCGGGAAAACCGAACAGGCGCTACGAACGAATTATTAGTTCAAAACACGAGAATACGATTAACCGGCATTTCATTGAGAAAGCCAAACACCAAAAGAACCGAATAACAAGTGCCATTGAAACGAACTTCTCTTCGAGATGACTCTTTTGTAAAGGGAGGGGGGAGCTGTTCGAGATTCGCGAAGGGGATTGATTCGAGATTTAGTTGAGGCGACAATGAGCGCGCGAGGGCACGATATCGAAATGCGCACAGACGAGCAAAAGGGGGGAAGGAGGCGACGCTCTATTTACCGTCGAGAGGAATTCTAGGTACGAGTTCGAAGAGCGTTCGCGTTGCACAACCTCGAAAAAAACGCGTTTCGACGAGTGAGCCTTGTTGTACGCGCGCACGGGTCACTGGTTACGCGTTAAAAAAAGAAGCGGCGAGATAGAAAAGGCGTTTGGATAAACCGGCGACTAAACTAACTGGGGCAAACGTGGCACCGCTCTGACCTCGTCGTCCTCCCATCCCTCCGGGCTCGTTCGATAAACGAAACGTCACGGGCGTCGATTTCGCTCGTTTTAGAGAACACGGTCGAAAATTCTCTCGCATCCGCTACCCGTTCGCGCCACGATAACTACTTAAATTGGTGTAACGACACGGATAAAATTTCCTTCGAATTCGCCACGCTTTGTGAATTGTATCGAGCACAGTTAAGAGTTTTATCAGCGATAAAAAAAAAAATGGAAGGAATTTTAACACGGAGATTCAAAAATTTGTTATTTGCACGGATAAATTTGTACGGTAAATTAGTATCTAATTTCGTTTTGTCGTTTATCTCTCTTTTCATGCGCGTTGATGACTCTACTTTTATCACGAGCTATGACTTAATCATAGCTCATTTTTAGAGCGGTAATAAGCGTGCCATTGAAAGGGCGTGATAGAGAGTTGTAAAGAAGCCAAATCCGGTACACGAATGATGATGAACGACGATCGTAAAAATAGAGGAAAGAAAATAAGACTTTTCTAATTATTCGATCGAATCTAGTGGCCAACAGCAGGCGTTGTAAAATCGTTAACCGCGATGATATATCCAATAAGCGACGGTTGGACGAGAATAAAACGTGTTTCCTCGATCGCGTCGCTGCCAAGAAACGAAAATAGGGTTAAATCTCAATTCGAGGGGGAGGGGGAAATTCGACGCGACGAAGAATTAATCTCTCGATTTATTAAAATACCTATCTTCCACCCTAACCTATCTCAATCGAGTTTTCTCTAATTTCCGTAATTCCCGAACATCTTTCCATGATTTATCTTCCAAACCAACTTTTAATGGTGACTCGTCAAGTGCTCGTGGCGAATTCGAAGCAGCGAGTCAAGCTTAGAGGGTAATTAAAAAATTATAACGAGACGAAGAATGAATCATTGTTTGGTAAACCGAGCATTAACGATAATCTGTTATCTTATTATGTTGACACTTACACACGTAGAGAGAGGAGACGAGAATCATTGCGATTTCTGCTTCGTACCACTCATCACACCTGACAATCGTGATTTACATACGCGAGAGTATCGCAACAGTCGAGAGACTTTCTGTTTCACACGGAAGATTGTAAAATCCTCGCTCGATTTCCTCATGTTACGTTTTCTCTCTCTCTCTTTTTTTTAAGATGATCGTAACGAAACATCGATCCATATATCTTTGATTTATTCATGCAAATATCGCGTTAACGTCGCGAGAAAAAAAAACGAGGTTTATTAAACATTCGTAAATTTTTAACGAATTTATAAAGCAGTTTAGATTTCTCGAAGCAGCGTGGAGAAACGATGGGAGAACCGTTCGGCATAATATAAATGCAAATCAGAAGTGTTTCGATCGATCAAACCATCTCGATAATCACGCGAGCTTGTTAAATGCGATCCCTTTAATTTATGCAACTATACATTTCTCTTTTAAAATGTTAATCTCCGTTCCTAATTTCCTTTTTTATAAATATATATATATATATATATATTACAAACACTTGCCGATAGATTCGTAATAGGACGATAATAACGAGATTCACGAGATCCGTTCTCGGTTGTCAGATCCGATCTGACGGTGAATTAACGACGCGGAAAGTGGAGAAGAAATGGTAAAGAAAATACGAAGCGTCTGCCGAGAGGAAGAAGCTGGCGATCGGCGAGACGGAAAGTCGAAAAACTAGTTTGATAAGCAATTAACGCTCCGGGATTATATAGGAGGGCCATTTTCATCCTCGATGTTCGAATCATGCGAGCGAAGATGTGAGTTTCCAAGTTAAGTAAAAAAAGAAAATAATCGATAAAAATCTTCTTCTTTGATGGACGGTGGAATGCGATTAAAGACACGCGCATAAAAAGGAAGAGCGATAACACGAGCGATAAGACCGTTTCCTTGGTTATTTTGCGACGGTGGTGGGGAAAATTTAATAGTCAAAGAACATACTTCGATGATAATTTATCGTTCAAAACGTAATAATAATCTATTTTTTTTTTTTTTTAGTAATAATTATACGAATAAATGTTATTCGAGCATTTTAACAAGTAATTACTCGATCGGATAATTCGTTATTTTCCATCTTGGTAATAATATATTGGTTGTTCGGAAAATAGTTGCGTTTTTTCACACGAGTGTCGCTAGTCGAACCTTTATCCAGCCAACTTCACTCTAAACCGTGTTATTGTATCTTTTGAGAGAGTTGGCATTTATTTGTATAAGAAAAATTTGTTCGATTCTGTGCGCTTGTGTTTTTCGTGTGTGATGACAAAGTGTAAGACCAAAAGTATTTTCGACATATTTTACTTTTTTTATTATTATTTTCTGAACAACCTCACTTTTGACAAGTTTCGAATCAAAGTGACGTTAGCGCGATTAAATTATTTAATTCGCCTGTGAGGCCGATGAAACGAGGCACGATCGTGCAACGAAGCGTTCCAATCAACGGGAAAAGAACACTCTCGTCTAATTATCCGGTTGCAATTTTTATCATTGTATGCTAATTGACCCCGTCCTTCCTTTCCTTTCCCGCGTCCTTGCGTGGTAATTTAACCCGTCCTAATTACGATATTCCTTCGTTACGTATTCTTGGAGAAGCTGCAAATTCCCTTGGAATCGCGTGAAATTTTCACCGCCGCCAATTATCCGCCATATATGCGTACATCTCTCCGTTTAAACACGCCAATTTATTTCTTTCGACGTTAAAAAGAAGGTAAGTTTTTCTCGCTCCTAGTAAAATAAACCTTGACGTGTATAGCACATGTTCTCTATACGAGTTATTCTTTTGTTATTTTATCTTAGAGCGATTGTCCATTCCGTGAATAAACGTTTATCACATCGGTATAAGTATAAACTACAAAATACGCGGCAGACACGTTAATTTGACGCGATAAATATCCCGGGAAAGGTTTATCTAGATAGGAAAGGCGAATGAATCAGGCGGCTTTGTGGTGGTGATCTCGAATTTTACCCCGATGAGTAATCCAATTCTATTCCAGAGAATCCCGCTTACCCAAGAAGCGGGGCTAAATGCACGCGAAATTTCAAAATTTGAATCGAGCTGTTGTTCGTAAATCAATTTTTTTTTATCCTCGCGTCGTTTAATTTCCGAACCGAAGATAAAGAAGGCTCAAAGATAAACTACTGTTATTAATTCAAACGCACGTATACTCAGTACGTATCTCGGCGAGATAATTCGAGTTTACTATTCGCTGGTATTTCACGAGGAAGCTGTGGAACTATCAATTTCGCGAATCACTTTCATTTGGTAAAAAACATATTAATATAAAAATAGTAAGAAATCATCCTATTGTATAATTCTAAGAGTTATCCGTTAAGAAAAAAAAAGAAAAGGATTGAAGAATTCGTTGATATATATATATATATATATTTGATTAAACAGAAGAGACTGTTTGTCCTTGGCTCCCCTACGTTCCTTCCACCAACGCTCGAGTCGTGTTCGTGCGCTTATATGGGGTGGCGCGATCTCTGCGGCTGACGTCACTCCTTTCCCAGGACAAAGCTCCTTCTCCAAAGGCGGGGGTGCGTTTATACCCGAGGAGAGACGGGGCCAATGGACGTCGGCGCCTGGCGTCGAGACGCTTCTCACACTCTCGCGACAAAACGCCCCTCTCCCCCTCCATATAAAATGGCACCAGTTCCCAAATCCTTCGCGTGTTTTTCCTTTCCATCGCTCTTCTTTTCTTTCCTTCGCCTCTTTTCCTAACAACACGAACAACTCCGTACGCGTTCCTTTCGCATCTCTCTCCGATTCTTTTTTTTTTCACTTCTCCTTTAAACCCCTTGCATATAAACCCCTCTCTGTATTCTCTGTCAGTCAGTCATTTCCTTCGCTTCGTTTATTATTATCCTCGTCATCGCGATCCCCTCGTTCTTTATCCTCTTCTGACAACTGCATTTCCCCTACCCCCTTTCTCGCCTCGTACGACACGCTTCCGCCTCCCTCTTTCCGTACGCGCGGATTCCGTTCGTGCGATATCGAGCAGATCGAGGAGTGCGCTTAAGTACGTAGCTTGATATGCGCGGAGGGACGTTGGAGATTGTCTCCGTCCAACCTTTTCCCTTTCCGTTATCACGCAAATTATCGTTTAGATTTTCGAGGCGATATGCGTTATAAAGATGATAAAGGAAAGAGAATAATATATAGTGGCTTCAAAGGAAAAAAGATATGTGTATATATATATCGATCAAATATATATATTGTTCAAAATGTAATCTCGTTAAGTTATCATGACAAAGCTGTTCCACAATTTTTGGAATATCGTTTTCTTTCGTGTGTTTCCATGATTATCAAATACAAGTAAAAGATTTTATTTTCGGTAGAGGACGAGTTCTTTATTGATTTTCCATCGATGATGGAAAATCCGTGGAATCCGTGGTACGTTTCGTCGAGGGGAGGTTTGGGGTTTTTATCCTAGCAACACGCGAGGGAGGCCGACTGGCAAGCGTCGAGACGCTTTTCAGACTGTCGCAATAAAACGTCCGACAACCCCTATCTAATACAACCATCCACTCCGTTCCCCAGGATTCGCTATATTTGCATGAAAACGCCATTTGCAGGGGAGGAGAAGGTTGTCCATTGACGAGTAAAAATACGATTTCCACATACTTTCTCTACTTTTCTCAGAGATCGTCGAAAAGTTTGATCAAACTCGTAAAAAAAGTTTGATCGAATTAATTTAAAAGGAAAAAGGAAAGTTAATTAATCATCTCGATGTTTAATATAATTTGATGAGATTAACTCGATAATATCCACAGTAAGCAATGATCAATTTCGAAATCGAAAGTAACGTTAAATTAAAAAGAAATCTTGTGAAATGCGATCCGTATATCAAGAAATCTCCAACTCGATCGATTTGCATACATTCGGAAAAGAAACGTTTGAGAAAACGAACGTTTACAATTACCACGAAATAATTTTTCGATTTACCGTAATAAGCATGTGATTAAAGATTTTTATTATAATTAGACGAATAATGGATAAATGGATAGATTTCGTAGACCTTATACGCTCATTTTCAACTTTCGATATTTTTCTCCGTATACTAATTGTTTCCACCGTGCGATAAACAACGCGAATCGATCAAGATGATATAACAAAATCGGTTCGCCTCGACGAGGGAAAAAAAAACGAGATTTTCCGCGCGACTTTCTCTTAGCGCGCTTCTTCGCACCACCTTCTTTTCCCTCCTCTTCCCTCTCCTCGCACGGTTTTCTCCGTCCTCGTTAAACGCACACGTCGCCAACAGTGGAACATCTCTCCCGCGTCCGTTGCACCGAGTTTTCAGGGTTTGTTGCTCCGTTAATTAGATCGTCCGCAACGAGAGCATCGCGCAGTGGGGAGGAGGCCTTAACGATCGCACACCCGCCGACCTAAGCCCCGTGCGAACTTCTATTCGCCTAGTCGATGAACCTGAAACCTTCCATCTTGCGATTCCTCCTATTCTTTTTAATCTTTTACTCTTTTTCTTTCACCTTGTTGGAGAGAATTTCAATTCGTCCATCTGGATACATACAGAGTGTGGAGCACCAACTATATAACACGTTGAATATAACCGTTATTTGTGGTAAAATGTTGTGTATACGAAACGTTAGATAGAACGCTCAGAGGAGTTTTGAAGGTTATCTTTATGTTTCTTTTTATTGCGACGTCGAGCTGATGTCGAGAAGATAACGTTTCGCTAAGCATCGATCATTGAAGGCCAACTTTCTTATATTACATTAGGACGTGTTCGAATTGGCGACCGTTTCATGTTGATAAACAACATTTTTCAACGCTCCCCAAAGAAAAAAATTTAATGGATTCAAGTGTAGAGAGCGAGCTGGGTGAAGTTCATTTTTCTTTCTTTTTTCTAGATTTTTCTTCTTTGGGGAAAAATGTTGCTTGTCAATAGAAATGACTTTGAAATCTCCTCTATGCCACGCAAAAAATGTTTTGTATACAACATTTTTTCATATTATTACAAATAACGGTAATATTCTTCGATCATAAAAGTATTATTATATTTATATCGAACATTATTATATTTATATCTTTTTAAGTTATCTATTTTGTATTCGCGACCAAGAAAATAAGGATCCAAAGAATATTTTATCAAAAAGGATGATACGAAGATGTGAATATGAAGCATTTAAAACGCAGAAGGAAAACGATCTGCGTTAATCGAAGGCTCGATAATGGAAGGCAACGTGATATATAATCGTAAATTGGATGAAAATTACGAAAATTAACCGGATTATCGGATTTGCCGTGTCGATGAATTTAAAATTTGAAGTTGCATCGAGGCATGGGATAATCGTTAATGGATACGAGAGAAGGTGTCGGGAGGAAGATAGAGAGAGAAATTGTTTAACAAGCGTAAATATATATCGATGCAAATTTTTATTCGCGGGATTGACGACTTTGAGGGACGACGTCTCGTCCTACGATCGATCGTGGACGATAGAAAATATCGCAAATAATACAACGTGAGATAAAGGAAAAAAAAAAGTAAATAAATAAATAAAATCAAAAAGTACGCTTTTGAACAAGTTTGGAAAATTAAAAGAAGAACGAGTTTCTTTGTTATTCTTGCCGCGCTACGAATTCGTCAGAGAATTACAATCGAGAATTACGCGTCACGTGAACTTTTACGAGAGTTCAACATCTTTGTAACTCTTCCTAACTGAATTTTTAGCTCCGATTTCGCTCTCGGTATTTTAAGAAGAAGAATAATTAAAAAATATTTTTTTAAATGGTACATCCTTTGAAGATAATTCAACGCGAAAGTTGAAATTCTTACGATTTACAAGTAAAATTATCTGTCATTGAAAAACAGCGATCGGATAAAGGGAATTAAATTGAAATATTTCGACAAAAACAAAAGGAAAACGCGTGTATATATCTAAGGTCGTTACACCGAGTCTCGTCATTTATCGTCGTATCGTGAAAGAGTGAACACATATATAATTTCACTTAACGAAAGATATTGTTAATCTCGAAATAAAACACAATAAAATACAATTTTTTTCAATATCTATCTTGTAAACACGTTTTCTCTTCGTACTATTACTTATATTCAACGCTTTATATTCAACTCAAAAATCTATCTTATATATTTTTTAACGAAATCGTGTAAATACTTGACCGACGACGAAAGATAACAATTAAGATATGTATGATAATGAAGAATAATAAAATAATTACATATAGATATTCGCACGATTGATACAATGCGATTCAGATTCTCAAACGTTCAATAAATATTTTTTTATTTTCGAACGTTTAACTTTGAACACACCTTGTTTACTCGTCTTGATATCCGTATCGTTTTTTAAAACATGTAGTACATCGTAACGTGTTTTAAAAAAAAAAACTTCGATATATGTTTTCAAAAAAAAAAAAAAATCATTTTTTCCTTATTTTAAAATAATTTTTAGAGACGAGTTACGTATAAGTTATAAACGATTTTTCGCACATTTTTTTCTTATCGAATTTCTATCGATAAATTTCTATTTTCGAATCATTTTCTGGTCATCGCTTTACCGAGTGAGTCATAGCCAGTAATTTGTATGCGTGCACATCTCGTTTCTTGAAAGCGTAATAAAGATCTTATGGGGTAAGAGAGCATATATTCGGAATAGGGAAAAAGTATTAGCAAGTAAATTGCGCGCGTATAAAGCGCCCGAGGAGTAGCAAAATAAGCGTGTATCCATCATCGAAACATGGAACGAATCTAGTAAAAAATCGCGAAACGACATTTAACGACAAATCCTCGTAACTTTTTGAACGTGGATACGTTCATTCAACAAGCAATGAAATTTCCAAATCACAAATAATCTTCATTTCTTCTTCTTCTTCTTTTCTTTCCAGAAATACAATTACCCTTTACGAAACTTTCCAAATTTTTTAAATTTGGTCTTCCACGGAAACCCAATTATAACTAAAGCTGTCTAATTTTCCATTAAATCGAAGTTGAGACGGAAAGCAAAGTCTTTAACCTTCGATACCAAAGATCGGGGGGGGGGGAGAGGCCCTTTGCAGCGAATTCTCGATCTCGAACAACGAAACGGTTCTCGCGCATCGAATGGAGCTAACACCGGTGTGCGCCATGCCACGTCAGAAATACGAGACCTTTCGAGTGGGCAAAAATAGAACCGAAACACGTTAGTCTTCTTTCCGTCTTTTCCGGACTCTCGATGGGTTGAAGTTACATCTAAACGTGGCGCAGCCATTCGCACTCGAGAGGCAATTAAATGCGGAACATGATTCAGTGGACGATCCGCGACACTAAGA